ATTATTTGGGAAACCTCATTTATGAGTGCAGGTTATATATTAATATTATCACATCACTGGGAAACGTGTGTCATAGAAAATTCTGGGCCAGGATTTCTTATAAGAAATGTTCTGCTTATTTGTGTGTCTAATTCTTCCCTCTGGCTCCAGGGCTTCACAGCCAATATGAAATAATACGGTGTCCCTAACCCCAATCCAACAACATTTTTATCCTTTTGTCTGTTTGCTTCAGTAACGGTAACAGTATATCCCCTTTACTTTCAATTTATGCAGAAGATTATACAAAGCAATGGTAAGAAATATTTTTTGGTGGTTAAAACATTGACCCGTGGAAGAAAATTTTTTTATGAAATAAATCTTTTAAAGAATATATAAACATTCTCTAGTTTGTGTTAATTTTGGTTGAAATTGGCCTGGGACACCTACTCCCACCTCCTTCCTGTTCATTCTCCTTGCTACAGACAAAGGGTGATTTTTAACATGCAATCCTGATCTTGCACTCCTCTGTTCAAATCCTTCAGAGGCTTCCAGTTTTCACCAGGATAGAGTCTAAAATATCTACAGGGCCTGAAAAGGCCCTGCACAGTCTGCCTACGTCTCCGGTTACCTGTGGTGGATTCTTCATGTGCCCTGCCCTTCCCCCATAAGCTCTCCAATTGTACTGATGTATTTGTTCCACACTATTTCATTCCCTAGTGCCCCAGCTCACAGTAACTTATCCTTCGTGTCCTGGTGTAAGCGTCACTTCTCAGAGATTTTTATAACAGCCGTCTTCCTCAGGTTAGCTTAGCTACTCCTCCTCCCCCAACCCTCATGCTTAGCGTCCTCTAAACAAAACACCCACTGCCATTGCGTCTCATAGCGACCCTGTAGGACAGAGTAAAACTGCTCCGTAGGGTTTCCAAGGCTGTAAATCTTTCCAGAGGCAGACTGCCACATCTTTCTTCTGTGGAGCTACTAGGGGGTTCAAACCGCTGACCTTTCTGTTAGCAGCTGAGTGCTTTAACTGCTGAGCCACATCCTCTACTTTTCCTTAAAGGACTTATTACTCAGGGAAATTATTAGGTGTCTGTCTTCACCTCTAGAATGTAGGTCACATGAAGGCAGGAGTAGTTCTGTTCATTTCCTCACAAGCGCTTAGCCCAGTGCCCATGCCTGGTTGATGCTCATTAATTATCTCTTGACTGATTGCATAAATGAGTAGCTGTATGGGAGGGAGGGAGGATGGATGAATGGACAAATGATGGAAGAATTGTATTGTTACCATTTCTCGTAATTCTTTTTTTAGTATTTAAAATTATACCATTCTAAGAATTAATGACCTAATTACAGAAAATATCAGGTATGTACGTGTTTTTATTAAATATGTGATATTCTCATATTGAATGTTAGCCCAAGTATGAAGCAGGGAAGAATAATTAGAAAAATCGTGTGTCAGTGTCCTAGTTATACTTCTATTTTCAGGCAATGCTAGTCATTTATTTTAATTAACATTTAGTACATTGATTAAGGCGCCCTGGTGGCACAGCAGTTAAGAGCTCGGCTGCTAACCAAAAGGTTAGCGGTTCGAATCCACCAGCTGCTCCTTGGAAACCCTGTAGGGCCATTCTACCCTGTCCTGTAGGGTTGCTATGAGTCGGAATTGACTCGACAGCAACACGTTTGGTTATTTGGTTACATTGACTCAAATGGCTTCATTAGGTCAAAGAAAATGCTTGCATTTCACCAAATCATTTCAATTTCATAGTCTTGCATTTAACACTAGGTATCAAGACTCTAAGGAGCCCTGGTGGCGCAGTGGTTAAAAGGGCTCAGCTGCTAACCAAAAGGTCAGCGGCTCAAACCCATCAGCTGCTCTGTGGGAGAAAGATGTGGCAGTCTGCTTCTGTAAAGATTTACAGCCTTGGAACCTATGGGGCAGTTCTACTCTCTGTCCTGTAGGGTCACTCAGTCGACTCAAAGGCAGTGGGTTTATCAAGACTCTCTTCAGTGTTCTCTTTGAGCAATCAAAATACAAATAACTTGCTATGGCATTGGGATAAGTCTATGTGCTTTGACAGAAAGCTCTTTTCCTTTTTAGGTAAGATTTCTTTCCATAATAGGAATTCTTTCTTACAATAGACCATCTTTTAAAAACTAGAATATAAAAGACAAAACAAACCAATGAATGAGAAAACATCGCTTTCATTTCCAATACTCGGAGACTACCATTATCAGCATGTTGGTATATTTCTTTTTACATGTTTTTCTAGCTCAGCTTTTTGTTTGTTTGTTTTGTAAATAGTTGAGATCACACTGCATGAATGATTCTGCCCACTACTTATTTCACTTAGTATTTTTGCATAAACGGAGTAGTATACCAGAGTAGTGTGCCTTTTCTTGACACGTCAGTGGGAGGCGCTGAGCAATCCGTTCTGGTATGGGTGAGGAAGGAGAAGTAGTTAAATAACTTGACAATGTTATACAAAGTAGAGCACACAGCATTGTAAGAACTAATCGTTGCTGAGCATTTCAGGTCTTTAAATTCCCTTGACATTTTCCTCAATGGATTGTAGATATGTACGATCATCAGCTGCAAGTGCCTAAAACATACTTATGAACCATCTGAGGCTTGCAGATTGTTAGATGACCAGTTGTTTTGTTTGCCATTCGCCAAATGTGTAATCTAGACCCTTCCTTTCTCTAAAACCATCTCCCATGTCACTCTCCATTTCCCAGTGCCCTCCAGCCACTGTGAAGTCCTTCCTCATTTTTAAACATTCGAGCACTTTCTCTGTACTTGCTGCTTGAAACGCTCCATCTTTCTTCACCTCAACACTTCATTTTTTGCTTGGCATGTTCTATGTTCTCCAAGTCTTAGTTTAAATGTTGGTAGTCAGAGAGGACCTTCTTGATTTTCCTTTATAAAATGCTCCCTTCCCCTGTGCCAGGAAACCTTTGTATGATCCTGCCCCTCTAGACCAAGACTCTATTTACCATTTGCCAGTCCTTCATCTGGGAAAAAAAGGGGGTTTGAGAGACTGTTATAATGCCTCAAGAATATGGTACTGCAAGATTTGAGTGATTCCACTCTGGAGATAATTTGTATTCATCACAAGGGAAGAGAAGAAAAGCATGGATTGTTCTGTAGAGTTTTTATAATTTTCTTTATGTCATGAGAAATGAAACATGCTTGCCTACAACTTTGTGATATTTCTAGTAAAGAATATGGCAGCCCCCTCTCAGAGCTCCAAATGAGGAAAGAAAAGCTGAATGGGCTGTTGTGCTGTCAGTCATTTGGGGTATAAGAGAGAGAAGCTGGTTGTCTCACCACCAGGGCACTAGCGGTCAGGTCTTCAGGTCGTGTCCCTAACAGCTTGTCTATGGACCAGCTTCTTTTCTGCTGTCCCTCTCAAGTTAGGTAAATGGCAGTGCATAAAGTGAGGAGGAAAGGGAGCTTCACTGTTTGGACTTCTGAAAAAAAAAAAAGGAAGACTTCAGAAACAGTAAGCTAAGCATTAATGGGGTTGTTACTTAAAAAGAAATCTTTATTAAAAATAATAGGAATATTGTTGAAAAAACAACTCTTGAATGATGTCTGCTTCTTAGTGTTCTGAGTTCATCTTTTACTCCCTGTCTAATTAATTTAAGTTCTGGCAAAGAGAAGGGAGTCTTCTCTGGAATTTGGCCAAGTATTCCCTTCAACCCCACCAATATTCCCACACCCCCTTTCCAACCCGGTTATTCTCCATGACATCATCTGTTTTTGTTCATTTTTTTGTTTTTCCTTCCTAGCCCTTATCACAATCTAGAGTTGTAATGCTCACTTATCTACTTGTTTAATGTCTCCCTCTCCCATTAGAATGTCTTCTCTCTGAGGGGCGCGTCCTTGTTGATCTTGTTCACTCCGTTCATCCTGGGGCTTAATACAGTACTTGGCATGTGGTTGGCAATCAAATATACATCGATTGAATGAATAAATAAATATTTTAAATACAATAATTTTCTAAAAGTGGATTCTTAAGCTCTGTTCCACTTATTTGAGGAAAAGGGTTGATGAAGTACTTAAGTTTTGGATAAGACGTTTGTATTCATTCAATAAACAGCTATTGCGTGCCTGTCACCAGGTCAAGCCCTGGAAAGGCCACATGTATAAGACATGATGGATGCCCTCCAGAACCTCAGAGACTAGCAGAGGGACAGACACTTATGTGTGTAAATAGCTGCAATTCTTTATGAAAGACTGTAATAGAGGTATGCAAACATGAGCTGTTGAAGTACAAGGGGGTGGAATTTAATTGTCTGGAGCATCCAGGTTTTCTCAGAGGCAGTGATATTTAACGCTGGGCCTTGAGCGAAGAGGGGAAGTTTGGCTGGTTAATTAGCAGGAACAAGAGCATCCCAAGCTGGGGAACGGGGGTGAGAGATGTGAAAATGAATGGCATGTTTGGATAGTACTGTGTATTTTGGTGGGGTGCACTGTGAATGCTGTTAAAGAAGTTTGGATTTGTTCTTAAAGGAGCCACGGAACCTGCTTAGATGATAAGAAATATATATTACAGAGTTCATTTGTGGAGAGTCAATTCTGTTGTTAAAAAAACCAAACCATTCACTGTAATTGTAGGTAGTTTTAGTTAAAACAGCTTTAATTGAGAATTCATAACAATGCATCTTTTCCAGAGATGAATTTTAGAGATGAACTTTAGAATTTCATAGAGATGAATATTTTGTTAGAAATTAGTAGCTCTTTTAACATGTGTTTTTCAGATGCGGACTTTTTATTTAGTTTTATGTTGAATTTTAAAAACGTTTAAAAATCTTTTTATTTTTAATTGTACCCAGGTAAATGTTACAGTATAAATCCCTGCAGAGCAAACTTCATGAATCTTCATATAAAATATAATTAAATATTTTGGATTCTGTCAGAGGAGTAAAATGCTTAGGCCATTTTCCTCTGCCCCTTGTTAAAGGTAGTGCTTCCTTACCTCATTAAAAAAAATTTTTTTTTTTCTTTCTTGCAGTTCCACGGCAGCCTTCAAATGACTTGTTTGAAATTTTTGAAATAGAAAAAGGAATCAGTGCAGATGATGAAGCAAAGGATGATCCAGGTAGACACTTATATTTTTAGTCCCATTATAAGGAAATTGTTACCCTCCATTTCATGAAAATAGCTTTTAAATTGTAGATTGACTGGTTATATCTGGGAAAATTCTACATTTTTTTTTGTAAACAGGACATTGGTTTCCCTTGTAGTTAAATCACTTGGGTAAAAATAATTATGAATCATCATTCTCTTCTTTTTTTGAAAATATATCAAAGCAGCCCTTGACCTGTGAGGCCATCACCATGTATAAGTGACGAGGTGACAAGGTCACAGTTTGACAAAGCTTGCATGTTCTGTTTTTACAGATGAGCATGCATGCACAATTGTGCTGAGAGGGGATTCCTGTAACTTCCCTCTGATCTCATGGAAAGACATTCTGCTGGGATAGTGAAACATGGGCAGGGAGAACCCTTGTACAGATACCTCTGGCTCCCAAATTCATTTCTTTTGTTATTTGTTGGGTTTGTGATTTACTCATCCTTCTGGTCATTTCCTTGTAGGTATTCTGATACACAGTTGTAATTTTGACCATGGACTTTGTGGATGGATCAGGGAAAAAGAAAATGACTTGCAGTGGGAACCAGTCAGGGACCCAGCAGGTAAAACCATCTCGTCTAACTCTCTCCGGTACACGTTTCAGTTCGACCTTCTCTGAAGATCCTAGTTCTGCTAATCACGTATATTATAACACAACTCTGTGTTTGCTTAATAAAGAGGGTTAAAAAAAAAAATCATATACAGCATTTTATGGTCCATATTCTTTTAGTGGAAACCCTGGTGGTGTAGCGGTTAAATGCTACAGCTGCTAACCAAAAGGTCAGCAGTTCAAATCCACCAGGTGCTCTTTGGAAACTCTATGGGGCAGTTCTACTCTGTCCTGTAGGGTCACTATGAGTCGGAATCGACTCGACGGCAACGGGTTTGGTTTTTTTTTAATTTTTTTTTATTTTAGTGAGCTAAATTTGTTGGCTGTCAATTAGGAATATATTATTGGAAGATGGATAGTTAATTAAAAGGCCAGCTAATTTCTCCCAAAAGATTTGGTAAATAAAACATTCAGACGCACTCCAGCATGTCGTTTTCAAGTGATCATAGTGGTCCCTTCACAGGAACAAGAGTTAAGAGTGGTACATCAGCCACAGTAACCCGTTGCCATTGAGTCGATTCTGACTCATAGTGACTCTGTAGGATGGAGTAGAACAGCCCCGTATGGTGTCCAAGGAGCAGCTGGTGGATTTGAATTGCCGACTTTTTGGTTAATAGCCTAGCTCTTAACCATTGCGCCACCAGTGGTCCTTGGTTATTTTCTCAATTATAGCCATCCCCCCCGCCCCTTTTAATAGAAAGAAAGAGGAGAAATTTCTATGAGGTTGTAAATATCTCTCTGAAAAACATTTCAATCTTACTCGAATGCTAGAGAAATTTGTAATAGATTACCACATTTACTGCACGAGGGAAAGGTTATTAGAAAGGTGGCTTCAGAAAATCAGCAGACTTTTAAACTGTGCAGTCCCTATCAATTTAAAGTTTCAGTTCTTAAAAGATGTTTTGTCTTCTTGTTTCAGGAAGCAAAGCTACGTATTGTTGTTGGTTTTCTTCCTCCCCTCAGTAATTAAATCTTTAATGGGTGAGGCCAACTTAATGGAAGGCTGAGGAGTTTGGTTTCTTTATTTCTTTTTTATACTTGTGATTCTAGACCTAAGAATGAAAGACGCAAGAAGTGAAGAAAAACCTTTCAGCGTGTTATTTAGTTTATTCTAAAAGCCTAGTGCTTAAATACTATACCTGGTATGTAGATAGAGCAGAAACCACACAGACATTAACTTGAGAGAGTGTATGATCTGTTAAAACAGCTCTTCTCAAATGTCATTGCGTGTACATATTACCTAGGAACCTTATTAAAATGCAGACTTCAACACAGTAAGTCTGGTTTGGGGCCTGAGATTCTGCATTTCTAACAAGCTCCCTGGGGATACCTGTGGTGCTGGTCCTTGGCCTACATTTTGAGTAGCAAGGTATTAAAAAATTAATCTAAAAGTATATTAGAGCCCATAAGATTAAAATACAACCGAGATATTTAAAAATGAAATTTGAGGTAAACATTTTAAAAAATACGAATATTTCATAGATTCAACTGGCTGTTTAGATATCTTTTAGATATAAAATAAAATATCACTTAATGTCACCCACCACTCCCCACACACACGGCCCTCTCTTTTATTCTCTGATTTGTATGTTCACCTTCTCACTCATTTAAGGTTAACTCTGAGCAGGACAGTATTATTACTAAAGTCACAGATATATGTGAATAAGAGAGAAGCTAACATTTATTTAATATTTACTGTAAACAAACAGAGGAACCCTGGTGGCACAGTGGTAAAAGCAGCACAGCTTTTCGAACCCACCAGTCACTCCCCAGGAGAAAGATGTGGCAGTCGGCTTCCATAAAGATTTACAGCCTGGGAAACCTTATGAGGCATTTACCGGTACTTGGACCCATTGCCTTTGAGTCAGTTTTGACTCATAGTGACCCTATAGGACAGAGTAGAACGGCCCCATAGGGTTTCCAAGGAGCAGCTGGTAGACTCGAACTGCCGACCTTTTGGTTAGTAGCCAAGCTCTTAACCACTGCGCCGCCAGGGCTCCACGGGGCAGTTCTACTCTGTCCTATAGGGTAGCTAGGAGTTGGAATTGACTCAATGGCAGTGGGTTTGGTTTGGGCTTTGGTTATAAACAAACAAACAAAAAAACACAAGCCCTTTGCTGTCCCATCTATCCTGACCCATGGCAACCCTATGTGTTACAGAGTAGAACTGCTCCATAGGGTTTTCTTGCCTGTAATCTTTACAGATGGGGAAGAAACACATGGCAGTCTGCTTCCGTAAAGATTACAGCCCTGGAACCTATGGCACAGTTCTGCTCTGTCCTACAGGGTCACTATGAGTGGGAATCAACTCAACGGCAATGGGTTAATCGTTACCAAAGCAGATAGCCACGCCCTTTCTTCCAGGGTCCCACTGGGTGGGTTCGAAATGCTAACTTTTAGTTTAGTAGTCAAGCACAAATCATATGCCCCACCCAGGAACCTACAGTATTTACTGTAGCCCTGGCTTATTCATCATCTTACTAGTTTATATATGTATATATATATTTTTTAATTGTACTTTAGATGAAGGTTTACAGAACAAAGTTTCTCACTAAACAGTCAGTACACATATTGTTTTATGACATTGGTTAACAACCCTACGACACGTCAACACTCTCCCTTCTCGAACTTGGA